AAGTAGTAAAAATTGGATTGAATGTAGTACCCAGACACATAAAAGTATAAATAAGACCAAGGAATTCACTGGGTTACACCAATGTCAATAGCCCAAAAGTGATATCATACCATAGTTTTATAAAATGTTACCATTGGATGAAATGGGAAAAGTACACATTACTTCTTACAATTGCATGTGAATCTCTGTTTTTCTCAATAAAAATTCAATCAAAAATAATATTAAGAGTATTTTTTGCATCATTTTACTTGTTTCCTCAATAGGTGGGCAAAACTCTACATGTGATGTTGTTAGACCCTGGGGATACAGGGAATCCAAACAGGGCACATCCCTTGCTGTTAGGTAGTATTTATTCCCTGTAGATAGATCCTACCATACATCAGACACTCAAAGGGTTTTATAGTTAGGAAATACAGGAAAGAAGGGAGGGTTTGGGTTACCAACACAAATGCACAAAATCTCTGGGCAAGAACTTTATTTTTTGGTTATTATTAGGAATAAGAAGTGATGAAATACATAGCTAGTTAAAAGGAAAAACCTGACAGTGCTTGAGCAAGACACCTTGCAAAACACATAATTTCATAACCTATCAGTCCAAAGTCACAGTAACTTAGTCCATTCATAAAGCTTGCATCTGTAAGATGACATTATCTGAAATTCACACTGCTGATGAGAGTACACATTTAAAACAAGTTTTCATTGGCATGGTTGACATAATATTGCACCTTCTGATCCTGATGCAGATCAAACCTACTGTTTCGGTGATTTGTCATCAAAATGTGGTTAGGGCAATTTCATATTATATCATGTCAAATAGGCATCTATATTGTGTATAAATCAGCAACTGAAATCCCAGCTCAGTCCTGGAATCACTGATGTGGACTAATTTTCCTCCGATTGCACACAGACTTTATAATATTGGTTAAATCTCTTAACAAACGGAAACCTGGTTTGATCATCTGCAAATGGGGATAGCACTTACTTTGCTGAATTCTTAGGAAGGTTAGATAACAACAGTGATAAATCTAAATATGCAATGTGAGTTTACAACCCATGTTCTGCATTAAGTAAAGGGGAGAGGTGGGGTGGGGCAGGTAGGGAAGGCTAAAATGAAGAAGAGAAGGAGCACATGTGTCTTCCTTAGCCCGGGGTTGGGGGGAAGGTGAGGCTCTGAAACAAGGCTCCATGGGGAGAAGCTTGGCCAGCCAGAAAGGAGATTCTACAGCTACCAGCAAGGACTCGACATCTCCAAGGTTGGAGAGGGAACAGACAAGGATGTTTTCTGATGCCAATTCCATGCCCAGTGGATTCAACTTAAGGAAAAGTGGAGCTGCTGCTGCTATAGCATTCTCTATAGCATGTTTCATAGCCTTGTGACTTAAAATGTTGGCAAAGTAGATCTAGGAGTTATACTAGGGACAGTGCCACCGTAAGTCCCATTATCAAAAGAAAGCATGGCTGGAAGACTAATGCAATCAGAGGAGAGAATGCCCAGAGTGGACAGCTCTCCATGGAACTGCACTGCAGAGGAGGTGGGAAGGAAGAGAGGGGAAAAGGTGGCCATATATACTTGACCACGAAACTTGATGGCAAGGTGGCTGTCAAATGCAGCGATATGTAGCTCCATAAAGTGTCCTCTGCTGCAGATGTGCGCATGCCTTTCTGTGTGTGTAAATTTGTAATTTACATAATAGTAATCTGTGTCTGTTTTGGCTTTGCTAACTGTCTTAACATTTTCATAAAGTAGTTGCAGCTGTTGTCAGTACAGTTCAGCTTTTCTTCCCCTCAATTAAAAGCAGGATGGTGGAGTTTAATTATACCACAGGGAGTTTTAATAAGGTATCACCAAAATTATGAGATCTCATTAGGTTTACCACAAAACTCTAAATACCCGTGATAGCACCTTTCACCCGGCTAGATTCCAGAAAATTGCTCTGTGAAATTCTGAGATCTTGTCAGCGATGAAATCGCCACACTTAATTCCTGGAAACTAATTGATGTTTTCCTTCCCGGTCTAGTGGCATGGAGTGAAATTTGATGGTGTGTGTTTCAGAGAGGCAAAATGTAATATGTGTTGCCAAGTAGCCGATAGCAAGACGGAGACCAAGCAAAGTGAGGCAGAGACAACATGCTAATTAGCAACCCACTAACGACATCTCACTGAAGCGCTCTCTGAAAGCTACACCTCTTTTTCACAGAGCATCTGTAGCCTTGTGGATATATACTGTCAAAACAAGGTTAAGGAAGTTGCCAATGGGCACGCGATGATTATGATGTCACATCCATAAATACCAAACAATAATAAAATACTAAAGCAATAGGAGAATCTACATAGAGCTTAAGCAGAACTTGATTTCTCAAGAGCCAAATAAGAGCCAGCTGGGAAGAATGCCCAGCCCCAGAGGAAAGACAATAATGAGAAGGTTGTTCTCTGTTACTAGTACAGAGAGAAGCTGTGCAAGTCACACCATAGGTCCATGGCAGAAGAATCAGGTCACTTCAGGAAGGAGGCCTGTGATGAACCCTGGAGAACTTGAGCAGGAAATAGATTTAATAACTCTTGACTGTAACCCTGGTGGATGCTTCAAGCTCTCTCTGTAATGAACCCAGAACATACCGGGGAGTACAACCCGTCCCAAGAAGCCAACAATCCATGACTTCACCTACAGCACATGTTGCATGAAAACCTGCTTTTGTATCCACCACACAACTTCTGCAAATTTCCTTTAACTGACCTGAATTATATTGCTGATTCTAGAAGAAGTATCTAAGCAGCCATGAGGCTCCTGTTGCTCTACAAAGATTATCCTCAATACACAGAGAACAGGGTCCATCTGGGTTCACATAGCAAGATTTATCAGACTTTGTCCCATTATCCATTAGACTTGCGGCTGTTACACCTTGCACCTTTTCTGGCCTTAATCACATTTCCCTGGCTTGAAACTGACTTCAGGATTTTTTTCTGCCTTTTTCCTTTCCTTTCTTTCAAATCCATAACTTCATTTGGACACTTGCTTCATTTTTCTCATATAGATCTAATCTGATGCAGGTTTTGCCACAGAAAGGCTACAGCTTAATAAAATTTCTGATTCTGTTTCATCAGAGTATTATCACTCAATGACAACTAACATGATCTTCTACATTTTATATGCCTTTTCCGACTGGCAAACCACAATCACACACACCAATGCACAGGTACAAGCATACAGACATGAGTGTGCACACACACACACACATGACCACATAATTTAAAATCCCATAAAGCCCATGCAAACAGAAATAATACTGATGGTATTTTTGCTGTTTGACCATCAAATTAGACTTTTGCTTTTATATTTCTAGTCCTGAAGCTTGTAATAACAGCAAATAAACTGTAGAATATTGCTGGGATCATGATTCTAAAATTTTCTCCATACCCAAGTAAATTATACTTTCTTTTCCAATTCCAACAGCAACCTTTAGTTTTTACAAGCACCTGGGATTCTCAGTCTCCATATCCCAGAAAGTTCTAAATTCGTGTGCACTAGGGTATACCTAGTGCTTTAACCTACCTTAAGCCCTTGCTCTTATTTAATATTACCATTAAAGTTTCTTGGATTTTTTGTCTCTAATAGTGCTGGAATATTCATAAGATGCAAATGGCCAATATCACCTACTTCCTTGAGAGCACTTATTCATGGGGCAACAACTCAAGAAAGGATACAGAAAGAGAAAGGCTGGAAAGACCAGAGGAAAACAGTTACAGCTTTGCCAAGAGCCAGCCCCACGCTTTATGAGAATTGAGATACATTTACATTTGGCTTTTTAATTCCTCCATCAATATGGACTGTGTTTTTGTGAAAATGAGATAATGTATGAAAGTACCTAGCTGAATCGTTGGGACATGGCAGACACCCAATAAATAGAAGTTTGTACTACTATATTAAGCATCTTTTTGTCATAAGCAGAGTTTCCTGGGTTGATAAAGAAAAGTTAAAACTCAGTTGAGCCAGTTAGGGGGAAAAAAAAGTCATGCTGAGAATGCACACACAATGTTACCATAAAAATTCTAAAGCTTATCATGATCCAAGAACATCACAGTCTTTGAATTCAATACTGAAAAAAAAAAAAACTAAGAACTGTCTATTGCCCATCTCTGTCTCTAATTATCTTCAAATGAAACCATGTGAATTTTCAAGTCTTTCCATTTCCATTGGTTCCAGGTTATCTTCTAGTTGAGACCAATAATCATTAAACCAACCCCGTAACTGAACTCTTAATAATGCACCCGTATTTATAAGTGAATCTTAGTAAAGGAGAATAGAAATTTTGTTTGTCTAAAATAAAATTTCACTTTAGAAAGCAAGTACAATGTTCGGTGCTTCTGTATTTCATTCACTGGCTACTGAGGTGGCAATCATGGCTCTCCAGTTTCACCACTGATAAAGAAGATTCAGTTGCCTACCTTTGTGGGCTTCTGGGCAGGCAGAGCTTAAAAATGGGACCCACGACTCTACCTTAGCCTGTGACGTGGAATGCAGAGCGCAGGCCGACTCACAAACTTTGCCAGATGTAGCAGCATCTAATTGTGTTGCAATTCAGCAATGGCATTAGCAGATCGCTAATATTTTCTTCAAAGGTTTTTACAATTCTCCTAGTATTGCTTTTTTTTTTTTTTTTTTTTTGACAGGCAGAGTGGGCAGAGTGGACAGTGAGAGAGAGAGACAGAGAGAAAGGTCTTCCTTTGCCATTGGTTCACCCTCCAATGGCCACCGTGGCCGGCGCTCTGCGGCCGGCGTGCAGGAGCCAGGTACTTATCCTGGTCTCCCCTGGGGTGCAGGGCCCAAGTAGTTGGGCCATCCTCCACTGCACTCTCTGACCACAGCAGAGAGCTGGCCTGGAAGAGGAGCAACCAGGACAGAATCCGGTGCCCCCACCAGGACTAGAACCCGGTGTGCCGGCGCAAGGCGGAGGATTAGCCTAGTGAGCCGCAGCGCCGGCAGTATTGCTTCTTATGTTGTTTTGATATGCTAGGAACTTTCATCTTGCTAAATCAGATCTCCTTTGTATGTAAAAATTCTGGTGTTTATTTTAAGGTCATTGTTATGAGTTTATGTCTTGATATAATTATATGTACAAATTCTGTAACTTACAAAATACTAGACACATGTAAAATATATAAAGAACTTCAACACCCACACACCATTTATTTTACCTTTCAAAATGTTTTGAAGGAGTCCTTTTTTTTTTTTTTTCCATTTTCCACTTATTCTTTCTGCTTTCAGCCAAGCCAACCTTAAGTGTCCCATTATCTGGAGATTATCAGTTGAAACTAACCATCCTAATCATTAATGAAAGAAAAAGAAAAATGACATATACAAAAAAACTTAAATATATGCAAGCAAAATCTTTAGGAAGTACTTAATGCATTTCCTATCCGCCTTTTTTATATGCCACTAATTTTATCCATACAGTATAATACCTCAGGTAAAATTCATTCTTTTAGGTCAAGTGAATTGAGACCCTAACAGTATATATCTTTTGTTCAAAGAATTATTTCTCTGACTAAGGAAAAAGAATCCTAGTTCTCAGTCCAGACAGCCAGCACCATCTGTTGCAGGAGATGACATAACTTCTGAGCATCCCCTGAAACATTTAGGTCACAGGGTCAGTCTCTGCCTTGCTCACAATGATTTAAAATCATTAGCAGCTAATGATTATCTGTGTTGAACAAGAGTCCAATCAGGCCACAAGCTGTCATAGTTGCTACAAATTAGCAATCTTGGTAGCTGTAGTGAGTTCAGAAATTGAATAATCTTATCAAGTGTTGTCTGGTTTTGCAGGAAGTTATATTTCCCATACTTACCCTTTCAGAGAAAAGAGCCCTGATATCTGGAAGACTGGCCACCATGAAGCCTCCAAAATCTCCAGTCATTTGTATGAGACAAGAATACATTTAAAAATACAGAAGAGAAAGGACAGTACATTGTTGCTTCTAATATCCAAAAGTATGATTCAAATAAATATTATCTAAAAGTAATTGAAGGCTTGGTTTACCCAAAAGCAGATTAAACATCTCACTGGAAGCACAGCTCCAATATCCAGGTATTAATAGGCAGTGCCAACAACAATACTAGAGTACCTTGATGTTTACAGTAGGGGCATGCCCTGTAGGTGAACTGATGTGTAAAGATGAAAGCCCCTGTATAAATTAGAAGTCTAGCATGTTCATGAATAATAAATAACTGATTCCTGTGAGTCTATAGAAAAAACAATTTACCTGAAGATTTTTTCCTCCTATTCCAATTTATAACTCTTCTTGACATTTTGTTCTGATATTCAAAATCCTGTCAAAGCAAATGAACTATTATAGGAAAAGTTGCATTAATTTTACCCGTTGATATAAGCAAAACATATTGCCTTTGATTTTTATGAATAGGTAATTTTGTTTTTCATAAATACATAATGAACTCTGTTTTTTTTTTCCCATGAATGGAAAGGGCCTTGTGAATACATAAGATATAGCTACAAGGATGCCAATCTCTTTTTGTTTATATCTGTTCAGCCAACACATTTGAAATGTTCTGAAGCTGTTTGTTCCCTTTTACATGTAACAAAGTCTGTCGCCAACACAATGTTGACAAGACTCACAACTGACCCAGCCTTTATACAGAAAATCATCAACTCATCCCAGGCATCAATAAAAAAATTTGTGGTTAATGTCACATGGGAGACATGTTTGTAGAAATACATTGCATTTTCACTAGCATTCTTTCTTGCCCTTGCAATTGCATGAGTCTAGCCGAAACAGAAAAGGAAGAATACAAACAGTAGTTGTGTCATTGTAGACCTTTTGTTGGTTCAGTATCTTGAACATGGAAATGGCATTTCACCTATATTCTCTTGAAGCTGGAAATGTTTCTCGATCCATGCCGTTGAGTTTGTTTGGGGCTGGGAGCGGTGAGTGGGGGTGGTGGGCAGTGAGGATTCTATCTTTTAGGAAATCTTTCACCATCTGGCTATTCAGCTCTTACTCCAGACCATCAAACCACAAAAATTTCTTTCTTTCACCAAATGCTCTGCAGGAGTTCAATTTAGAGGAAGATGTATTCAAAGAGACAAGCAACGTCCTGTCGGTGAGACTCCTGCTAGAAGAGAAATGTAAGCGACTGATTGAATGATATTTGCCATAATTATGATTTACACTAAAATGCTCAGCATAACACTCAAAGAAACTGCTCAGTAGATACCTGTTTATACATTTGATTCTAAATGGAGCTTAAGGGAAACTTATTAGTCACGAAATACTTTTAAAAGATTTTTTTTCATCTCATCTCATCTCATTATCATGACATTTTATGTCATCTCATATAATTACTAAACAGTAGTATGGTTGTCAGTTTTCTGCTGCACAAAGTTTTTTTGTCAGCCTTTATGTTTGCTAAATTCAATGCAACATCTATTTTATTGTGCACACCTGATACTTGGGGAGTATATAGCTCTTCATATGAGATGAGATACAGCATTATTTAAAACTCTTGATCTCATAAGCACTGTATTCCTGGAGCCTTAAGAAAGACGGAATAAAAAGAAATAAAAATAGTAAGGTCAATCTTTTCAGAAAACAGTGCATAAGATTTGCAGAAACTTATACTCTTTCTCAAATGTGGATAGCACTCAATTCACAGATTGTTCGGAGGATTAAATGGCAACCCATGTTGCCTATATATTTGGTGCTTTGTGAGTATAGAGGAAGTGAGTGAGTGAGGAGTAAGAGACATAGTAAATGGAAATCACTGTAAACTTTAATATCTGTGCAAACTATTAATGCTTTGGATAGTTATTTTCAAGCTTTAATAATTTCTAAATAGCTTTTCCATTTCTTTTTTAAAAAAATCTAATTACTTTCCTGCATTATAGACAACATTGATTGTCCACATGGAAGTGAAAAGAAAATGTCTTCATCTAAGAAAGAAGTGCTCTAAGCATCCATCAGAGTATCCGCTAAGCCCATTCATTTAAAGCAAATGCTCCATTATATTAAGATACACAATAGAATGGCACTACTAACGTTACCAGGTTTTGGTAGAAAAATGAAAAAAAAAAGCTTTATTTATTTGATTTAAAAGGAAGAGTGACAGAGGGAGAGAGAGCAAAAGATCTTCCATGCATCCATTGGTTCGTTCCCCAAAAGCCCACAACAGCTGGAGTTAGGTGAGGCTGAAGCCAGGAGTATGGAAATCCATCCATATCGTCTGCTGCCTCCCAGGCAAATTAGCAGGGAGCAGGATCAGAACTGGAGGAGCCTAGATTTTATCACAGGCAGACTGATATGGGATGTGGGTGCCCAATTGGCAGCTTAACTTATGCCACAACACCTACCCCTGAACAAATTTTTTAGACCTCAAATTCTAAAACATATGTTATGGAAAATTAACATATGGCAAGAGAATTGAAACCATGTCATACCTTGTATATAAATAAGGATTTATGCAGTATAGTTTATGAGTTGGAGATAACTAACTACCTAGCCCCTGAACTAATTTGTCATCTGTGTTTTCTCTAATAGTCATGAATCTAAACATGCAGCCCAGTGAGAGAACTCTCTAAAAGTGTTGGACCCAGACTAGAAGAAACTGAGAAGACAACCAGATCAGAATTTAAAAAATTAATGAACCTCCTTCTTGGGAATAACATTATATAGCCACAACTACTCAGTTAACAAGTTCAGTTATGGTTAGAGCTTATTTTATTAACTCTAGCTACTTCTGAATATTCAGATACAAATGGTTCTATTCTTGTTCTAATTTGGTAGTTGACTTTATAAATGTGCCAGAGGTTTATTCATAGGGCATATTATCTAAGCGCCTTACAAAGTCTAGGATGAATGTTTTCACGTGTGCTTTTGAAGACACTAAGAATCTTTTCCTCCCCTAGGAACTGTCAGTGGGCCCCAATTTTGTTGAAAAGAACATTAAAATCCAGCCATTTTCAGAAAGTGTTACTATTTCACTGTGGTATAAGACATGCTCTTCAGACATCTGGAGTAAAATTATTTACTCAGAAAACTATAAATTATGTCCCTCCCACAGAAATCCTGAATTCCTTGGTAGGCAATCCAAGTTGGACAAAGTCACTCAGAACTCTTACTGAGTGCCAAGCCTAGAGAGCTTGGAACAACTGAATAAATACTGTGACCAAAGAATCAGAAGGATCCAGAGGAGAATGGTCTGGAACCCACAGAAGTTAAGAAAATCCCTTTCAGACTTAAAATATTCAGTCCCATTCTATTCAGTCTAGTTTAATAATAAATCCCAAGCTTCAGGTTGGGTTACTCTGCCTTAGTTTTGCCTCTCTAATGATGAGTACGCAGCCCTTAAGGACAGTGGGGCTTCTGTTTGTGTTTTTGTTCCATAAGTCCATCATTCATCTTCTCATTCATTTACCAGCGCGGGCTACTATCCTCTGGATGCAGTATTTTACTGGGAGCTACTTTAACATTCCAAGATCATCTGTCTTCTCTTGTAAATCCTGAGAGATTAGGAATGCTAACCCTAAAGTTGAGCTCCTTCATTCCCCAAAGCAAGTTTGACAAATTGCCAGGGTCTTGGAACCAAGTCCAAGACTTCTTTGGCATATCCAACCAATGCAAATTTCCAAGTGCAAAAAAGCTAAGAAAAATAGAAAAAATTTACATTACTCATGCAAACCACAACAAATTCATATATTTTATCTAGGCTTTCTAATCTTGTAAATTAATGGCATATAATTGCTCTAGACACTATTTCTCAATTTTAAAATTTCTCTTTCTACTAGTTATTTCCCACTTATTAAATTTCCAATTTACCTCTTGATTGGTTTCTCATCAGTCTTTTCAAAGAATCATGTTGTGCTTTCAAAATTAGGTAATTTTGTTATTATTGCTTTTGCTGTTTTGCATTTTCTTGATTTATTAACTTTATTTGTTTCCTTCTTTTTTTGTTCTTTGAATTTATTTTGATGCTCACTTTCAATCTGTATCAAGTAAATGTTTAATTCCTTGGCTTTCAACTTTTGCTCACTTTTGATAAATATTTAGAACATCAGAAATCTTACCTTTGGTAACATTACACCCCACAAATCTTCACCTATGTTGTTTTCATGTCTTTATAATTCATTCTTTTCCATATGACTCACTACTCAAATCAAGAATTATGTAATGGTATGTTTATGGTCTCAGATATACAACATTATTTTGGCTTTTTGTTAAAAATTTCAAAATTTATTCATCTTAATAATATAGCCAGCGCCGCGGCTCACTAGGCTAATCCTCCGCCTGTGGCACTGGCACCGCTGGTTCTAGTCCCCGTCGGGGCGCCGGATTCTGTCCCGGTTGCTCCTCTTCCAGTCCAGGTCTCTGCTGTGGCTCAGGAGTGCAGTGGAGCATGGCCCAGGTCCTTGGGCCCTGCACCCGCCTGGGAGACCAGGAGGAAGCATCTGGCTCTTGGCTTCGGATTGGCGCAGCTCACCGGCTGCAACGCACCTGCCGTAGCGGCCACTTGGGGGGTGAACCAACGGAAAAAGGAAGACCTTTCTCTCTGTCTCTCTCTCTCTCTGTCTAACTCTGCCTGTCAAAAAAAAAAAAAAAAGAATATAAAAGGTGTGTTATTAATTGTTGTGAATGCAGGGTGCTTACTTTTGGATCTATACCTAGTCAATTTTTGCATGTATTGTGTGTGCTCAAAAATAGTTTATTCTGTGTTTGTTGGGTGGGAAATTATAGTAGAGGCCTTCAGAAAGTTCATAAAAATACACATTATCTTTTAATTTATTTTATTCATAAACTTTTTGAAGTACTCTTATACATGCAAATGCAAATTCACATAAATATGATTTTATTATTCAAATCTTCTATACCACTTTTTGCTTCTGAATCTAACAATTAAAATCACCAACTATTGATATAACTGTAACTTTATCTATCACTTTGTTTATCTATACATTTTGAGACTATTTTAATATATGCATATATATTCATTATCATTTCTTCTTCTTTTGCTTGTGTATAATATTTCTCTTATTTTTCTTTATATTTTAACCTTTAAATTATGTCATTTCTAAAATTGCTACCAAACATTCTTATTATTCCTGTTTGACTTTGTTTTTCTTTACTTTAAAATATTTTGTATCGTATTGCTTCAAATTTTTCACTTATTTTTAAGTAATGTATTCATAGTCTTGGTTTATTTTTACAAATTGATCTGAAGTGTTGTTTTTCAATGTTATATTTAACTCATATACATTTATTGTAATTACTGTTACATTAAGCCTGTGCCACTCGTTCTTTTACTTACAATAATTTTATTTCATTTCTTTATTCTACATTGTTCACTTTCCACTACATCAAATTTTTTTCTGCTGCTTTAATATTTATATATCCCTTTTAAATTTTTAAAAATTTACTTGAAAGGCAAGGAGAGAGAGAGAGAGAGAGAGAGACTAGTGGGATCTGCTGGTTCATTCTTCAAATGCCCACAATTTTCCCAGCAGGAGCTGGATCCAGGAGCCAGGAACTCAATATGGGTTTCCCATGAGATTGGCAAGGACCCACGAGCTTGAATCATTGTCAAAGCCTCCCGGGGGGGGGGGGCATTAGCAAAAAGCTGTCATCAAAGCCAGAGATGACACTCAAATCCAGGCTTTCAATATATGATGCAGGCATCTTAGCTGCAACTGAATGCCTGCCCCTACATCCTGCTTCTATTCCTTTTGTAAGCACCTTTTACTTGAAACTCATTAGACTTCCTCCCCCTAGCTCTCCTAAAACTTATAAATCTTTATACCTTTGCCATGATAAGGAAAAAAAACTATAATCTCACACCTCCCTCTGACCTATTCTCTTTAACTTGTTCACATCCATGCTGTCCTGTGATACTATCCAATATTCCGTTTTCAAATTTTTTATTGCAGAGGGCAGCTGTTGAGGCACAGCAGGTTAAGCTGCCAGCTTGCAATGCCCACATCCCATACACAAGTGCCAATTCGAGTCCAAGGAATTCTACTTCTGATCCAGTTCCCTGCTGATGCACCAAGACCTGGATGGCGTTTCTGTGTCCTGGCTTCCATCTGATCCAGCCCCAGATATTGAGGCCATTTGGAGACTCTCCCTCTCCCTCTCCCTCTCCCTCTCCCTCTCCCTCTCCCTCTCCCTCTCCAATAAATAAAAATTAACTAATTAATTTTTTAAAAAATTAAGTGTTCCTATAAGATTAATGATCAACAATCATACATGTCAGGGTGTTTATTTCAAACTATTATATAAGTTTATTTGGCTAAAAAAGTCTAATACTTAAACTATTTTCCCTTTAAGATATTATTCTATTGTCTGCTTTTCCAGTCTTTTAGAGAAGTCTGAACTCAATATGATTCTTATTACTTTGTAGTTGATCTACTCTGCTTCTCTATAAACTTTTAGAAGCTGTCCTTTGTGTTTTATGGCATGAAAGTTTGCCATAAATTTTTCTCATGTACGTGTGGGTGCCGGGGGGCCTCCAGTGTTCCACTTAGCACTCATGTGCTTTCTATCTGCATTTGTAACTTGTCTGACTTCTGGAGAGAAATTGGCCAGTTCTTTGTTTTTTCCATTTTCATTTTATCTTCCATTTTTGTTCACTTTACTCTCATTCTAATATCTCTTATTCCTCATAATACCTTAAGTTTTCCTGTAGCACTACTTTTTGTTTATATTCATTCTGTCATTCCAACCATCTTTTCTGTTACAGTAACAATTAAATATACCAAAAATTGTCTTTTGTTTCTTTTAGATAACTCTTATTAACACATATACTGATTTTCCAATTCCTCCCAGAATATTTGTTATTTTATAGATTCTATTATTTTTATTTCCTGTGCCATAGATTGTTTCATGTATTGCTTTTTTGAAAATAATGCTTGCTGTCCACAGAAGCCTAATTACTTTTTCCCATGCATTCAAGTTTTACTCCCTTAGAACAAGCAGCTGTCTTGACTAATATAATATCAATACACACTTTAAACAAATCACCAATAAACAATGGACTCTCTCCATTCCTTCTGAAAATTTAAAAACTACCCGTATCATGCTGAAATTTTGAAATTAATAGGTTGTTCTCATACCCCAAATGTCTATTCCCACCAATTGAGTACAATATTAGTTTTCTTTATTTCCAAATCTATTTATTATGTCTGTTGGTAGTGTTATTGGACACAATTGAATTAAATATTATGTAAATTGATGAAATACGAATGAGAAAAAGAAAAAAAGAATGTTCCTATGAAAATATTTCCAGGGTAGGGAGAGACAGGGGAAACATTTAGCCTAGCAATTAAGATAACCTTGTGCCATACTGGAGTATCTAGATTTGATTGCTGGCTCTGGCTGCTGACTCCAGCTTTCTCCTAATGCACACCCTGGAAGGTAAAGGGGGTGGCTCAATTTGGATTCCTTGCATCTATGTGGCAGGCCTGGATTTAGTTCCTGGCTTGTGCTTTGGCCCAGCTCAGTCCTAACCATTACAGTTCTTCCAGGAGTTAACATTTCATATAAACAAATATAAATAAGTAAATTTGGGAAGAAAAAGTTTGTGAGTTTTTAAAAAACAATTTAGTCTGATAAAGAATGTATTTGTGACTTTTTAAGAATGACCAAATATCACAAGAATATGGAAGGAGTCTCTTTCAGATTGATTCTCAAGTGTTTATAACTTTAAATAATCAAAAATAAAAATGATAAAAATGTGCAGCAGTGCAGTTTATCCAAAAACAAAACAAAACAAAACAAAAAAACAAAAAAAAGCTGGCAGAACTCTAAATTGGAATTATACTCAATAAATTGATTAAAAAATGTATTGGGGCTAGTTCTGTGGCATAGCAGGTAAAGCTGCACCTGCTGGCATCCCATATGGATGGGCACCTGCTTAAGACACAGCTGCTCCACATCCACCTCCCTGCTTCGGCCTGGGAAAGCAGTATAAGTTGACCCATGTCCTTGGGCCCCTGTACCTGCATGGGAAAACCCAGAAGAAGCTCCTGGCTCCTGGCTTCGGATCAGTGCAACTTCAGCCATTGTAGCCAATTGGGGAGTGGAACCAGCAGATGGAAGTCCTCTCTCTCTCTGCCTCTCCTTCTCTCTCCGTGTAACTCTGACTTTAAAATAAATAAATAAATCTTTAAAAATGTATTTTTGCATATTCGGTTACTAATATAGTTAAGGTAAACAAAAACTTAAAATTTTTCTCTTTAATCAGTTTATTTCAATTAAGTGAATGGCCACTGTAGCCTTTCTTGTGGTTGCCACATCCACAGGATGCATAGGCCGATGAAGCAAGGAGGAAATGCTCATCAAATCCTAGCCCAGTGCAGCCTGCCCTGCCACTCCTTGCCCCTCCAAGGCCAGCCTTGTCAGATTCGTGATCCCTGGTACTTGCCTGTCATGGCAGCTCTTCTGTCACACAGTTGTAACAGGTAGGCAATGACCTGCTCAGAGGAGCCAGAGGAACACCAAGGGGCACAACTTGAGAAGCTCCATTGTCCCTCCCACTGCATCTACATTCGCCTCTGCTACACCAAAACCCAACTACCTTCTGCCTCCCACAGGCTTGCTGGTGTTTTCATATGAATGTGTGGGAGCAGTCTAAGATCCATCAACCCCGTTATATCTTCACTGGTATTTGGGAGTTCATCCAAGGGAAGAACCCAAGAACCTATGTGGTCCACCTCTTTACCTAATCATACAGGGCTTGTTTAAAAGTATTAAGGTTATAAAAAATAAATTTTAAAAATTCCCCACCTGCCAACTTTTTTGACATTCATAGCTATCTCAGAAGTTTTCCAAGGATTGGAAAAGTTCAGAATGACATTTGTTTAATCTCTGTAGTATATAAATCATTGGATTTGCTAGGAAAGACTTTTTTTTCTTTTTTTAAAGAGACTGCATTCCCAGTAACCATTCCTATCCCACGTGTCTCCTTACCCAGCCCAGGGGACTTGGCTCAAGCTATCCCCTCAGTCTGCACTCCCTATAGCCACCTGTTATACCATATGGAACTGGCAACATTTTCAAGTGACACCTCACCAATTTTGAACTTTTAAAGCTCCCACTACAAGAAGGTCAAAGACTGTGGTCCAGGAGAAGACACTTTCACTGAGAATTTTAATGTAGGGAAGAGTTTTTGTGCTACTGAAGTAAAAAGACAGATGTTGCAAGATGTAGAGATATTATTAATTTCTCTTCCATGCAGTCAAAGCACTTGTACCTAATGAAGTGTTGCTGAAGTTGATATCTGTCTGCTTTGAAAACCCTCTACCTTTATCAGCACTGGTTTCCAGTAAGATCAGATGTAACAAATCAACTTTTAAATGCTGAACTCACTTACACCATGTGGTATAAATTATGAACATTGTCTCCTACATTTATATGGGACATGAAATCCTTCATAAACCCCAATAATAACATACTGAATACAGAGCAGTTACAAATAGTCCTATCACTATAATTAGCCAATTGGGAAGAACCACTCAAAGCTGATTTTTTTAAAAGATTTATTTATTTATTTGAAAGTCAGAGTTACACAGAGAGAGGAGAGGTAGAGAGAGAGAGAGAGAGAGGTCTTCCATCCACTAGTTTGCTCCCCAGTTGGCTGCAACAGCTGGAACTGTGCTGATCCAAAGCCAGGAGCCAGGAGCTTCTTCCGGGTCTCCCACATGGGTGCAGGGGCCCGAGGACTTGAGTCATCTTCTACTGCTTTCCCAGGCCAAAGCAGAGAGCTGGATAGGAAGTGGAGCAGCCGGGTCTCAAACCAGCACCCATATGGAATGCCGGCACTTCAGACCAGGGAGTTAACCCACTGAGCCACAGCGCCGGCCCCCAAAGTTGATTTTACATGTGTGTGTGTGTGTGTTTGTGTGTGTGTATTAGTAAAAGTACCAAGAAGTCAGATTATTTTGTCTCCTATCAAGTAAATCTTCAGATTAAAATAAAATTTAGTAGATATTCCAATGTGGACTTGCTCATAGGGAAATCTAAGATCTTATATAGAGTTTAGCCAAATATTTCACATAGCAAAACATCCATAAAGCTTATTGAAAAAACCTTAATTTGTCAGATTACTAGATAAAGATTTAAACATCAGGGATTTTGCATCTCTTAACAGTTTCACTTATTTTCAAATGCCCTAATTTACAAACATCAAAACATTGGTCTCAGACTAAAAAGAAGATGGTTGGTCACTATTTCGTAGTTTAGGTAATCTGTTTTATCCACGAACTGAAAATAAATGTAAGGACAAGTGACACTGTGGAGTCTGGATGACCTAATGGAAACTTGTAGGTACAAGTGTCCTACAAGTGACACAAAGGACCCGGGATGACATAATAATCTACAGTTCTAAGGTATATTGTCCAAGCCAGAACATGCATACACTCAATATTAAAGCTTGGCTCCCTGTCCCTCCTTGAATTAAATCCAAATTCATAATCTTCTTTCATTCATCTGAAAAATATTTAAGTATCTACCATGTGGCTGAAATTTTTGATTCCCTGAGCATGGATATAACACAATCCAATGTGAATGCTTGGGATTAATTAGCGGAGAATTGTTCATCAGAGAGGCAATGCACAGTTCTAGTGCAGGCCTAGCCTCACTGCTGAGGATAGGAAAATCCAAATTCCAAGGCATTTCTAAGGTCCCCAGGAGATATATTCACAGACATTTTCCCCATGGCCCATTTGGAAATGCTGATTCTGCATGTATTAACTCCAAAGGAATAATTATGTTTCTTATCAAATTGTCTACAAAACACCAGTGACTCAGACATAATGATAAGTGACTTAATTGTAAAAAATTCAGTCTGTTTGGCATTTCCAAAGGAGTTTTTAAGTATATATTTTCATGCTCATGCTTTATCTAATCGTTATCCTGTAACCGAAAATAACTAAATATCCAGCATATTATGATAAACCCATGACTTGACAGTGAGCCAACGTGTTTAAACACATTGAGCACAAACAGAAATACCAGACACCCTTGTGTATTCTCCTGTTAGATGGACCCCCAAAAGGTTCTCACCTTTGTAATTATTTCCAGGCAAGTTAATCTTGTCACCCTCTTATTTCATTCAGCTTGTAGTTGTAACAGCTCTAAATCCTCCCAGTTAAGCAATATTGTTTTAGGACCTTCTGAACTTTCATAGTCACCCCTTATCCCTGCTCATGTTGCTCTGAGTTGTAACAAGGAACTATCAATAGAGGAAAACATGGCCGGCACCAGATTCTGTCCCGGTTGCTCCTCTTCCAGTCCAGCTCTCTACTGTGGCCCGGGAAGGCAGTGGAGGATGGCCCAGGCCCTTGGGCCCTCCACCCACATGGGAGACCAGGATAAGTACCTGGCTCCTGGCTTCGAATCAGTGCAGTGCGCTGACCACAGCGGCTATTGGGGGGTGAACCAATGGAAAAAAGGAAGACCTTTCTCTGTCTCTCTCTCTCTCTCTGTCCACTCTGCCTGTCAAAAAAAAAAAAAAAAAAAAATAGGGGAAAACAAACATCTAAAATCTTTGGTCTACTTCCACTTTGGATTTTTCACAAACTCATTTCAAGTAAAAAGGGAGAGTCACGGGTCATGAAATAGGCACTCGGTGGAAATTGGGTGACTGATGCTCTCTGTGAACCAGGTGTGACTCTGATGGATGTTCCTGAACTCCCTGGGACTCAGTTTCCCCCATCTGTGAACTTAAGGGGCAGGGTGGGCTCTCATCACTGTGCTCCCTTCCAGCTGTAAAATTTGAAGTAAGACACCAGTTACCTTCCTTACACGATTCCCTGGCTACTCACATACTCATTTACTAAATGACGTTTTAATTTCAGCCCCCAAGTGTTTGAGATTTTTCTCAAGTTCAACAAATGGTGCAATCCGCGAGCTAAATGTTTTAGGTTTGATCACACAATGCTAAGAGTTGGTTATAGCCCTGAGACTATGATGAGATGACTGGAGATTTATAATTGAAACAGGCAGCACGGCTTCTGGAGAGCCACTGGGGAAAAGGAATCTATTCCAAAATGAAAAAGGCATTACTGAGTTTCTCAGAAAAATATCCTGAGTCACAGTGGCCAGCCTATTAGGAACTCTACTCACTCTTGCCAATTTTTCTAGTGACTGCTTTGTGTTATCGCTGTCTGAAAAATAGGGGTATTTTTTTTTTTTTGACCAAGAAAAAACAAGATGCATTTGGTCATCAAAAGCAAGCCTTTCAGAGAGGGCGATTCAGAGTGTGGTGGAGAGCAAATGCATGCTTGTTAAAGCCACAGCCATTCGCTCCTTTGCCAAGCTCTGTTATTCCAGAAACAGCTGCTCTGAAGGTTGGCTGAGGTCTTGTTTAGAGAATCAATTAGCCAAAGAAGTTTAGGCCAGTGAAGAATGTCGCTCAAGTATAGAAAGATTTGGAAAACACATATTTTTGTGTTTCCTGCAGGAAAACTTGCTCATGTTCTGCACAGCTAATATGCCATGTAACTTCACAAAGAAATGAAGCAGTCAGGATGGGTTTCATGGATGGCTTTATTAGCAAAGACGCCGACCAAATGAAAACTGGAGCCCAACCAATGATGAGAAATAGCCCAAAGATTCCTGGGACCGATCACAGTCCTCAGGGTAGGTTTCAGTTTTATTTCTACTTTATTTGAAAGAATGCAATGTCAAAAAGTTCTAAGGGCAGTAGAAACTTTACATTCAACTAAGAAGTACATTTCAAGCAATCAAGAAATTACCTGCATGTATAACATAGGCATTCTTAAGAATGTTTTCTTGATATTATTAATTTTTACAAAAAACATGCGAGAATCTCAAAAAGTTTGTGGGAAAATGAAATTAAATAATAACACAGGTGTGGATATTCAGCCTAATGGTTACGATACTGGCTAAGACACCTTGTTTCATTTCAGAGTACCTGAGTTCAATGCCCAGTTTCAACTCCTGACTAGGTTCCTGCTAATGCAGATTCTAGGAGGTAATGGCGATGGCTCAAAAGTTGCATTTCTGCCACCTACATGAGAAACTTGGATTAAGTTCCTGGCTCCCAGCTTCAGACTCTTTAAAGCTATTGTCAGCATCTGAGGGGTACACCAGTGGAGAAGGTAGGTCTCTCTCTTCCCCCACCTTCCTTCCTACCTCTCAAATTAAAAACAAATAGTATACAAAGATAATGCACATTTTCCATGAACAT